TGCCACTCGGAGAGTTTTCTCGAGGCGCGAGGCGCGAATTACGGTCGCGCAATAAGGAGGATCCGCGTACGGTGCGGCACAATGGCGCGGTCATCATCACATTCGTTTACACAACGAGAAAGGGGGGGAGAGGCGAAAGGGGATATTTGTCCACTGAGCAGGAAGTAATCTGTTTCAATGTGGCCACTCGGCCAATAAACAACGTTTACGTTGTACGGAACGTTACCTACTTACGACTCACTTGTTCGTGGGACGACGACGGAGTGACGACGAAAATTCTCTCTTTCGTAATCGAGCGGATCGAGTTAGGCAAATTTTCGCGTTTGAACGAAAAGCAAATCTGCATTTTTTTTTACAATAAGAATATTTCGACTGAAATTTTACGCATTTTGCATCACGACCTGTAGTACATATAAGTTTTAGATTTTTTTTTTTACCTCGCGAAAAAAGAAATATTACGTATGTCGTAATTCAATTTCTCCTTCACGTTGATTAATTTTGCAGTTTTGTTGCTCCTCTTTTCACGAAGATAACATAACTGTTTCGCGGAACGGCTGATTGCACGTCGTTTATTTTGTAAAGCAGTGCAACTCAAATGTTTGCGAATCTTGGCCGAGGTAGACGCACGAGGATCGTTTATACCTACCATCATACATTTAAATGCATTTATATATTGCAAAACCCGACGTGCGCCACTCTTGGAATAAACGGCGCGTATGACAATACCGGCTCTCGTATCTCGTTACGTTCCCGCGATCGAGGTGTTTCAACGTGTCATGCGACGACAGTAACATCGGGTTCGCTTTACTGCCCGCCTACTTTGCACGCGGGCCCATGTTCTAACAAGAAAATATGAAAGACGTTGATTGACGCCCGTAAAACTCCGGTGCGATATCCAGCCGCGCCGTTGCCGTAAAATTGGGTCTCGCGCGAGTCCCGTTGCACGTGATACAGCAGCGAGATACAAAATTGATCGCGCGATACGCCGCATTCGAGATAAAAAATCTGGAAGGAAAGCCACGCGGTGATTAAACGCTCGATGAACTCTGAAAATGATTCCATTCCTGAAAGGAGCAAGAAGACCATTTTAAATCATATCACGAATATATTCGAGAGAATGATCTCCGCGTGATCGTGTTGTGATCTTTAATAAAAAATTAATTAGCCGGTGATAATTACTGACATCACGTAACACGTATTTCCCTGTTGAAATAAAAAAATTGTTTTCCGACTGGAAGAATGTGATTTTGCGGACGTAACTTTGTCTTATCGAAACGGAGACTTATCTCTCCCGTTCGACTTCGAGAGAAACTCCGGTTTTTTTTCAGGTGGCATAATTCACTCGTCTGTCGCGCCCGACGGCCTTGTGGTGTCGTGTCTCGCCCGAGAAATAGCGATATCCCTTCGGCTTGAGTGCTTGAAGTGCCCTGGTCCATGCATACGCGATTAGGTTTTTACCGTTGCCGCACGTAGGCTGCCGATACAAATAGACCGCGATCCGACGGGATACGTGCCGTGTCGGCTTATTAATTGGCATTCACGACCAGCGCCCTGCCCGCACTCGTGTACCCCACTTAAATAATAATTACCTGCTCGAACTATCACGCGTTGCCGCGACGCGGGCGCCCACGTAGGCGCCGTTTATGCTTCGTTGCGAGTTCCGTCGCCGCCGTCGCCGGTCTCGCGCGGCCGGTGCAAGGAAGGAAAGGACTTGTAAATGTGAATCGAGATACAGAATATATATATATATATGCCCCAGGATTCTTCTCTCGGTTGATTAAAGACAGAGTTAAAAACATGAGGAATTAAGTTACAAGAATATATGGCTAAATAATATAAACTTTACTTGGCTGTAAATGAGCTTTCCCGATAATATCTTGGCCCGAGTATCTATTATATGTGTGTGTGTATATATATATAATATAGTCAAAGTTGAGTATCGAATGGTCGATGTTAAATCAAATTTCCGAAGAGCCTCTTGGTGAAAGGAAGCGCGAGACATTCGCCTGTATTGCAGACGCGCTCAACAAGATCTCGTGCGGTGCGGCAGATCGAGACTGTTAACCTAGCGGCTGAATGGGATTGATAGAGAAGTCCAATGAATGCCGCGGGACACGGTCCCCTGGAGCATCGAGCAGAATGCAGAATGCAACGGACGATTTTATGCATGTGTCCCGGGACTACAGTACATTCGACTGCAAGTCGCGGCACGGCAATCATGAATAAATTAAATTTATCGATTTGACAAAAGGTCTATGTCGAGCACTGAGCGCGCAATTATCGAGCCGGTCTAATGAAGAAGTGCAGACGAGCACACTTTTGTATGAGGCACTTGAGGTGTGCGTGCGAAAGCGACGTCCCTTTAAAAACGTACTTCTTCATCTTACTCGCGACGCTAGAAAGTGGGAAGGATCGTTGAAAGTGAGCGAATAAATTTTTACAGGAAATTTCCCTCCTATATCACTTGAAATTGATACGATAACACCACCGAACAGTTATAATCGCTAAATAAATAATTTCGTAAATATGCATAACGTTTCAGAACACTCTGGAACGTTCATACTCTCTTTAAAATTCGCACAAATTTGCATTTTGATTTTAACATCCTGCGACTGGAGTCGACTTTTTAAACGGCATATATATATATATATATATATATATATATATATATATATTGTTGT